TCCAGGGACCCCATAGGAGGCTGGGTGTGGGTCGGACTACACAACCCATCCTCCCCAGCCACAGGCGCTGGACGGGAAGGCGCCTCCCGGGACAGCCCGGCGCCTTCGGGGAGAGTTGGGGACCGCCGCTCCCGCCCCCCCATCACCCCCCCCCCAAGACAGGAGGCTGGCTGGGGATGATGGGAGGTGTAGTCCGCAACGCCCACCCACCCAACCCCCGCAAGCTTCCGGCCGGGCACGATTCGAAGGCAGCGGAGGGAGGAAAACGGGGGCAGCCCGAGGGAAGAGGGAGGGAGGGGGGGTCTCAAGGGGGCGCAAGACGACGAGACGCCCCCCCCCCCCAAAAAACAACAACTCACCTGCGCGCCTCCGAACCTCAACTGCCGCCTCTGGGGAGAGGCTCCGCCTTCTTCTCTCCATTGGTCTCCGGTGCAACCGTCCCCGCGCTGTCATTGGTTCCGAGCACTGTCAAGCATCCTTTCGCGTACGTGGTATGCCTAGCCGCCCGTCATTCACTTCGCCCTCTTGCGAAGCCCCGCCCTCCGCTCTGTTGGTGTCTGCTTGAAGACCCGCCTTATCAACAACGCGGGGGGGGCAGCAGCTCGTCCCTGATTCGTCCCCTTGAGAACGCATAAAACCCCGCCCAGATCCCGCCTTTTTGGCCCCGTCTATTGGAGACTCCGCTTGTCAATCCTTAGGGCCGGCACTCCTTGCAGAAGGGACGCAGAAAGGGTTGAAAAAGATGCTGCCTTTAGCGACACCTAGCGGCTGTTCGGGGCGAAGCGGACCGACCAGCGCTTTTCAGAGAGAGACTTCGCGGGTTCGAGACCCGCTTGCGCCAGGTGTAAAGTGAACAAAGGGCGCGCGCTGCAGAAACCGAAAGTAAAATTGCTTTTTTTAAACCTCCGTTAAGGCACGATTTTCGATTAGGAATGCGCTTACGCTGCAGTTTCCAAACAGGTATGGCATGCGGAGTTTTCCATGTATTGGTTGTTATTTCATTGGACTGGAAATGTTAAGAAATCTACATTGTAAGATGTGCGACTCTTTTGATTTAACCGGACAAGTTCCAACGTGGGAATTTTTCTGTGCATACAGTGAAATGTAGTGAATGGCAAATCAAGATATATATCATTGTTCTGTTACCATGTAAGTAATTCAGCATCCAAGAGAGATGGAGCCTTTAAGTGGCAGATGGGGACGTTTCTCCTTCTTGAGATTTAATTTAATTTTCTGTCTGGTTTTCCAGAAGGTGCTGGTCTTTATTCCAAACCTCTCCAGGCATCAGCAGAAAATTGCTGAGGTGGGTTGGGAATGGCCCAAAGTCATCCAGCTGGCTTTCATGGCTTTTTCTTGCCTAGGTGTAAAAACCTCGCTTTTCTCCACATTAAATTTCATTTTGTTGGATAGGGCCCATGATTCAAGTCTGTCAAGATCTTTTTGGGTGCTGAGCTGGTCTTCTGGGGGGTTGGCTATTCCTGCCAGCTGAGTAGCATCTGCAAATTTGATAAGTTCCCCTTCTATTCCCTCATCTAAGTCATTTATGAAGGTATTGAAGAGTATTGGACCTAAAATGGAACTTTGGGGTACCCCACTCCTTACTTCCCTCCATGTAGATCAGTGTTTCTCAACCTTGGTAGCTTGAAGATGGGTGGACTTCAACTCCCAGAATCCCCCAGCCAGCGCTTGGCCACCCCTCCCCTACTCCTGAGATGGCCCTGGGACTGCTGGACTCTCCATCTGTTCAGAGGGTTCCCTGGCCTCTCCATCAGATTATCGTCCCAGTTCCAACTTTTCCTCCCCTCTTATCACTTCCCTATTAGTAAGAATTGATAACTTTGGGGTCACTTTTCCCCATGATTCTGAACCCCTTTTTCTTATTGGATGCCGACTCCGCCGTTCATCCCTGCGTCCCCTGGTTGGATTACCTTCCCATGGGAGGGCCTTGGGCACCGCCCACTTCCATTCAGGATGGGAACGGCAGCTCCACCCCTTTTCCATTCACAAATTCCGTTCCTTCCCTTGCTGACTCCGTCTGAAATAGAGAGGAGTTTGCGGGGAAAGTAACATGAAGGACACACAAGCATACACAAACACACCCATGCCGTGTTGGTTCAGCCTGAGAAGATCTTTGTGGCCAGGAAAACTTTGTTTGTGGTCGTTCTGCGTGAGCTCTTAAAGAATGGCCTTAGATCTTGGGGTTGACCCAAAAGATCAGGACAAGGATTCTTTCGGTCCCTTGAAAGTTAGACAAAAGTTTGTAGCCTGTCCTGAGTTCGAATGTCGTTGCTTTCCTGCTGCAGGGTTTTGTTTACTTTTCAATTTTTCCTTGTTTTCCTTCTAAACATTTTGTAACTTAGTTGAGATTTGTTGCGTTGAACGTACAGTGATACTTTTCTGGTCTCATTATAGGCCGGGGAAAAACACTATATTATTGTAAATCGTACGTTGTAAAGCAGGGGGTCGGACTAGATGATCTCCAAGGTCCCTTCCCACTCTGTTATCCATAATCCTATAGCTGGCTGGAGAATTCTGGGAGTTGAAGTCCACAAGTCTTAAAGCTGCCAAGTTTGAAGACCTCTGCTGTATTCTGTAAATGTAAATTAAACTTCTATAGGTCGCCCGCGACTTACAACAGCTCATTTACTGACCGAAGTTAGCACGGCACTGAAAAAAAGTGGCTTACAACCGTTTTTCATACCGTCGCAGCATCCCCATGGTCACATCATCAAAATTCAGACGCTGGGCAACTGGCATGTACTTATGACAGTTGCAGTGTCCCGTAGTCACATGATCCCTTTTTGTGACCTCCCGACAAGCAAAGTCAATGGGGGGGAGGGGGAGCCAAATTCACTTAACAACCGGTGACTAACTTAGCCCCTGCAGTGATGGCCCCGGATAGAAGATATTTCCATGTGTATCTCAGACTCCGAAGTCAACTCGAAGGCCTGCCTTTGATGGACTCTTTTGCTTAGCACCGTCGCCAGGAAACAGGGGAAATCTTTTTGCCAGGCCTTTTAAGACCTGCCGGTCTAACTAACTGTGTTTCTTCCATCGTTTATGGTTGAACGATGCTTCATCTGATCACGATAAGCCAGCTAAAGGACATGGCTTTTGAACAGGGTGGGTGAATTCATGTCAGCGGTGGGCCTTCCTAAATACAAGTGGAGCTGTGGTAGATGCTGGCTTCTGTCCTCTTATGGGGCGTTTGAGGGGTCCTTGGTGCTCTCTGAGCTTGGTTGTTTCCTTGCAAACATTTCATGATCCAATGTGGTAACATCTTGAGGGCTAGAAGGGAGGGTGGGTTTGCAGAGAGGAGGAGGAGGAGGGAAAGTGGAGAGGAGGTGCAGGAGGAGGAAGACTGGGGGGTCCTTGGTTGTTTTCTTGTAGATGCAGGAAAGGGCTTTGCAGAGAGGAGGAGGAGGGGGAGGAGGAGGAGCAGAGGAGGAGGAGGAGGAGGAGGAGAATTAGCAATAGCGCTTAGACTTCTATACCGCTTCACTGTGCTTTCCAGCCCTCTCTAATCAGAATCAGCCTCTTGCCCCCAAATAATCTGGGTCCTCATTTTACCAACCTTGGAAGGATGGAAGGCTGAGTCAAACTTGAGCCGGTCAGGATCGAACTCCTGGCAGTGGGCAGAGTTAGCCTGTAATACAGCATTCTAACCACTGCGCCATCACGGCTCCAAGACTGTGAGGTCCTTGGTGCTCTCTGAGCTTCGTTGCATTTTTGCAAATGTTGCACTACCCAACCAGGTAGCATCAGCAATAACTACAAGGCAGTTGGGTTTGTGGAGTAGAGAGGAGGAGGAGGAGGAGGAGGAAGAGGAGGAGGACGACGACTGTGGGGTCCTTGGTGCTCTCTGAGCTTTGTGGTTTTCTGGTTTCATTATCCAACTACTAGGGGATACCATCAATGCAGGGATAGCTTGGAGGAGGAGGAAGAGGAGGAAGACAAATAGGAGGAGGAAAAAGAGGAGGAGGAGTCCTTGGTGCTCTCTGAGCTTGGTGGTTTTCTTGCAGACGTCACCCAACAAGTTCACATCACAAGTGCCCTGCTAGCCAGCAATTCTTCGTTAAAAGGAAAATATCACTTGAAACAGTGGCCTCTTTTTTTTGGTTTATGAGACTGGACAGGGAAAATCCCATCCGTTTCCAACCGCAGTTGACAAATTATTTCCTCCTCCTCCTCCACCATCATCATCACCATCCGTGCATCACCTAAAAGAAAAATGGAGCTGAATTTTAGACGGAACCAAGGACAATTGGCAGCTTTTGCACCCAGCGTTGCCCAATGCCTAATAGCCATAGCACTTAGACTTATATACCGCTTCATAGTGCTTTTACAGCCCTCTCTAAGCGGTTTACAGAGTCAGCCTCTTGCCCCCAACAATCTGGGTCCTCATTTGACCCACCTCGGAAGGATGGAAGGCTGAGTCAACCTTGAGCCTGGGGAGATTTGAACTGCCGAACTGCAGCTAGCAGTCAGCTGAAGTAGCACGCGGGGCTGCACTCTAATCACCGCGCCACTTCAGGTAACATTGCAACCAAAAGACAAGAAAAAGAAAAGCAGAGGGAAAGAGAGATGAGAGAGTTCTCCTTGGCAGATCGAGGGATCTCTCTCGATCTGCTCAGGTTCAACTCCAGGAAGCTCAAAGAGGGAAGATCTAGATCAGTGTTTCTCAACCTTGGAAGCTTGAAGATGGGTGGACTTCAACTCCCAGAATGATGGGTGGACTTCAACTCCCAGCAGCGCTGGCTGGGGGATTCTGGGAATTGAAGTCCACCCATCTTCAAGCTTCCAAGGTTGAGAAACACTGATCTAGATGGAGACCTTTAAAAAGGAAGAGCTGTTTTTCCTGGCCATTTACATTTTAGACTCCACCTCTCCGGTACAAGTTATTAACATTGTTTAAATTGCCGTTTAATGTGTGTGTGTGTGTCCTATGCTCATTCAGAGAGGGGTGCGTGCCTGGCTGGGACAGTATTGCCCTGGTCACCATGTTCTCCACTTCATCCCAGTCTCCTCCAGCCTGTCTTCCAGCTGTGGCCCAAGGGGCCTTTTTTGACCCATGGAAGGATTATCTGAACCTCTCCAAAGTGGTGATGGAGATCGTTGAGGAGCGGAAGAAGCCAGAAAGCTTCTCTCCTTCTTGGGGAGACCCCTTGGACGTCATCGTTCTGCATTGGGTGAATGGAGGCGGCAACAGCAAGACCTACAGTCCCAAGACCCACAGCACCCACAGAGGAGACCTCCCGCCCGCTCAACCAACCCAACAAGGCATCTGCAACTTTTGCAAGCACAATGGGGAGTCCAAGAAAGTCTATTCTTCTCACACCTTGAAGAGAGCCGACGGGATAGTGGTTTGCCCCATTCTGCGCAATTACACCTGCCCGCTTTGTGGGGCCACCGCCGAGAAGGCCCACACCCTGAAATACTGCCCCCATAATAAAGGGAAGCAATCCTTGTACCGCAGAAGTGGACGCAACTCGGCCGGACGCATGATCAAGAGATAAAGGGACACACACACCTCTTCCCCACTCTTTCTTCCACGGAAAAGTGGAAGAAGAAAAAGAAAAAAAAAGTTAAAACGCCTGGAGAGTGGATGGTGAGAAGAAAAAGATTTGGAAAGAAATAAATAAAAAGGAGTAAACAGGGTTCCACCCTCCCTTTTCCAGTTCTTCAAAAATCACAGTTGCAAAAGAGGTGATTTTGCATGACCTTATTATTTTTTTTAGTATATATATATATGATGGATGAGACCAAACTTTGTTTTGAAAAAGAGGAAGATTTGTGTCTTTCAGCTGCACCCAATTTCAGTTTCGGACAGAAAAAAGCAGGACTTTGTTTTCCAAAATTAAACCTGTAAGTTCAGAAATCCTTTTTTGTTTGTTTGTAATTGTCTTGAATGATGTGCAAAAGAAGTCACCGTTTGCCTTAAATTAACCACGATAAAAGGAACATAGGTGGTGGGGTTTTTTTCCCCTTTTCTTGAAATGTTCCTCACTGGCCATGTTTGACAAAGTTGAGATACCTTGAACAGTATTTATATCTGGGTTTGCAATGGGTAAAGTTTATTATGATTGTTTTTTTAAAACTAGTAAGATGTTGTCTTTTAATAAACAGTGTTTTTTTTTCATGATTGCATCAAATCACTGCTTCCTTCCTTTGTTTTTAATCCCTGGGTTGAATTTTCCTGGGTTCTCTGCCACTGATTCTTCATTTGATACTCAAATCTTCACTCCACATTTAATTTTGATTTGGACCTAAGTAGGTTTCACTTTGTTCAAGTTGTGTAGTTGTATCATAAGGCGCAGTTCTTACGGTATTTTGATGCACCAGTTGGGGGGGGGCATCACGTTGGGAAAGTTCACAAACTGAAAGTGATATTCTCTTTTCTGCATGTCAATCCTGGGTTGTTGGTGGGGTTTTTTTGCAACCTCTGCAAATACTGAAAATCAGCAATTATTTCTGCAATCCGTATAGCTTTTTCATGCTTGGGGAGGATCACGTCTTCACTTCCAGCAGTGAAAACTCTCTTGAAAAATTCCAGATTCTCTTTTTGGCTTTTGAGATTCGCACAACTATCATCTTGTCTTAGTTTGCACACATTTATTGTGGTATGGTTTTCTATAGACTTAGATAGCACGCACATGGTTGCAATCCGTTGCTGGTGTTAGATTTACCTTGCTGGCATGAGGAAGAATGGACTTCCAAGCAGCTCCAAATGAAACTTAGAACTTAGAATAACAGAGTTCAAAGGGACCTTGGAGGTCTTCTAGTCCAACCCCCTGCTCAGGCAGGAAACTCTACACCACTTCAGACAAAGGGTTGTCCAATCTCTTCTTAAAAACCTCCAGTGTTGGAGCATTCACAACTTCTGGAGGCAAGTCGTTCCACTGATTAAATTGTTCTCCCTGTCAGGAAATTTCTCCTTAGTTCTAGGTTGCTTCTCTCCTTGATGAGTTTCCACCCGTTGCTTCCTGTCCTGCAAAAGACACAAGCTCAGGCAGCAACGCCTATTTGAAAAGTTTAGAAGTGTCACAAAACATGCGGGATTCTTTCCTGCAAGAGGCAATCCGATCTGCCCTGCTGGAGAGGTTTCTACCAACATTATTACCTGAGCTTTCCTAGGGGCTAGAAACTTGATTTGTTCATATCATTCCATCCTGCAAATCCAAGTGCACTTTTCTGAGAGTTTGCAATCAGTGAGAAAGAAAAAAGGATTAAAGAGTCAGTTGGGCAGTTGGGCCAAATTAGGAAACAACTGGGCACCAAAACATCAGGTGTTTGTTTGAATAGTCCCAATAACCTGTGAATGTGTGTGTGTGTGAAAGAGAAAGCAAAAGATAAGGGAGGGGAGGGCCTCTCCAGCCCCCCACCAACGGGGGTTTCCACATGTGTTATGATTGTAGCTCCTAGAATACTGTTTAATATTATCTCTAAATCAATGTTTTTCAACTCATCAGTTGAAAAACACTGATTTAGTTAAATTAGTTAGGTCACTTTAAGATGTGTGGACTTCAAGTCCCAGAATTCCCCAGACAGTCTGCTTTGGTCTTGGATGATTAGGAAAAGCAATTTGGGGGGAGAGTAGAGCAGCCTTACCTAACCTGTCCCGGCCTTATGGGTATTGCAGACCAAGAAACCTGGAAGATGATGGTTTGGGTAGAAATTCCAGTTAGAACAGTGTTTCTCAACCTTGGTAGCTTGAAGATGGGTGGACTTCAACTCCCAGAATCCCCCAGCCAGCGCTGCTGGCTGGGGGATTCTGGGAGTTGAAGTCCACCCATCTTCAAGCTACCAAGGTTGAGAAACACTGAGTTAGAAGAATGTTTCTCAACCTTAGCTATTTGAAGATGGGTGGACTTCATTGGCTGGCTGGGGAATTCTGGGACTTGAAGTCCACCCAACTTCAAGGTCACTAGTTTGCTGGTTGGGGAATTCTGGGAGTTGCCGTCCACGCGACTTCATTAGCATGCTAGCTGGGGAATTCTGGGAGTTGAAGTCCACCCATCGTCAAGTAGCCAAAATTGAACAATTGAATTAGAACTTTCCCACAATGCTGATGTCCTTCAGGGCCATCAGCTTTCACTTCCTATTGTCCACGTTGAGTTGGCCATAGTCAACCTTCCGCGCAGTCTTCCCGCTCAACCTGGAGAACCTCCAGATCCGTTGGAGAGCATGGGTGTCGCAGTCCACCACCTTTGCAGGTGACCCAAGGGGAAGGAAAGCTGATGTGTCTGCAGAGATCTGGGGGAGGGGCTGCCTTTAAATGCTCCTCCTGCATATTCCCCCCTTCCCCCGCTTCCCCCTTCCTCATGGCTGGATGCAGGGACCTTTGATAGCCCCCCAGCCAGGGGGTTCCTGGGTTTGCATGGCTGGGCTGCAGCTTCAGGCTGTGTTTTCAGCTCCTCCTTGCAGAAAACCCATCCCTCCTTCCCCACCCCCACTCCCCCCACCACCATCACCAGATTTCTGCCTCTTAGAGCAGAAAGTCCTGGGTGAAACTGGAATTTTGTATCTTTCAGGCAGACGACCCTCCAGCTGGAAGAGGGGAGGGGGTTGAGGTAGACAAGTCTCTTCAAACGGACCTGACAGCTTCAGGGACAAGAGAGAGCATTTGGGACCCTCCTGCCCTTCCCCCCCCAACCCCCTCCCTTCATCTCAAACTAAGAGCTTAGGGGTCTTGGGTGCTCTCTGAGCTGAAAGAGCATCAAAGACCCCTCGTTTCAACCCTCGAGCTACAAATGCTCCCCTTTATTGGTAACAAGAGGTTCATGGTGGGGGGGGGGGCTTCTCACAACCCCAAGCGATCCATTATTCCAAAGCAGCTTTACTCAAGCTTGCTGGGGGCGAGGGAGGGGGCTTAATCCTGGACTTGCTGAAGTCGTTTCCCCCCTCCCCATTTTCCATGTGGGGCCAGGCTGCAGCAGGGAAGGGGCAATGGGAGCCAGCAGTTGGGAGGGAGGGGCCGTGGCTGCCTTGAACCCCCCCCAGAAGACCCCAGACGTGGGCTACGGGTCAGCACGGTGGGGGATACCTGCAGATTCACCAAATTTGGGGGTTCCCATCCTCACATGGCTAAAGTTGGGGAACTCCAGTTTCATTCGTTAGCTAATGGTTGAATGTAGATTAAAAGGATTAAACCTCTCTCTCTTGCTCTCTCCCTTCCTTCCTTGCTTTCTCTCTCTCTCTCCTTTCTTTCTTTCTTTCTTTCTTTCTTTCTTTCTTTCTTTCTTTCTATCTTTCTATCTTTCTTTCTTTCTCCTTTCTTTCTTTTTCTCTCTCCTTCTCTCTTTTTTCTTTCTTTCTCTCTCTCTCTCTCTCTCCCTCTCTCTCTGTGATAGAGAGAAAAGAGAGAGAGAGAGAGAGAAGGGCATTCCAAAGAAGAGCAGTTTATCAAACAAAATTCACATCATGGTGCATGTTTCTTTTTTTGTGTGTGTTTTTCTTTTGTTTTTTTTTCTCCATCCCGTTGGATAAATGTTTCTTTATTTCTCTTCCCGTGTTTGCTACACTTGGCTTTTAGGAAGTCCAGGCAGGCCAACTGCCAAGCACCCCAACCAGCCAGCATCAGCAGAAGAAGTTTAGCTTCTCTTCAGCCATGTCTTCAATCCATCCATCCATCCATGAGAATAGAGCTGGAAGGGACCTGGGAGGTCTTCTAGTCCAACCCCTGCTCATGCAGGAAACCATATACCCGTGATGGCGAACCTATGGCACGCGTGCCACAGGTGGCACGCGGAGACATATTGGTGGGCACATGAGCTTAGCTCTAGGATGCATGCGGGCGCCAGCCAGCTAATTTTCAGGCCTTCCGGGCCTACCGGAAGTTGGGAAACAGGCTGTTTCCAGCCTCTGGGGGTGGGGGGAGGCCATTTTTGCCCTCCCCAGGCTCCTAGAAAGGCTCTGGAGCTCAGGGAGGTGAAAAACGGGCCTTCGGTCCCACTGGAACTTCGGAAATGGGCCATTTCCGGCCTCCAGAGGGCTTCCTGGGGGGTGGGGAAGGCCGTTTTAACCCTCCCCAGGCTCCAAGAAAGAAATTATGGGTGTGGGCACGCGCACGTGCGACCCCCCCCGCACTCCCCCCACATTTGGCACGCAGCGGCAAAAAGGTTAGCCATCCCTGCCATATACCGTTTCAGACAAATGGCTGCCCATGCTCTTCTTAAAAACCTCCAGTGATGAAGCACCCACAACTTCTGAAAAATTGCCATAATGCCAGTGTCGCCCAGGGTGACACTGGGCAGGGATTCCTGCTGCCCACAGTTGTACCTGTTACAGGTGGTCCTTGACTTACGCCCACAATTGCGCCTGAAATCTCTATCGCTAAGTGAAACATTTGTTAACTGAGTTTTGATGCATTTTACGTCTTGCCCCAGTCATTAAATCTGCCCCCTAAAGAAGAGGGAGGGCTTGGGGAGAAAATGGCGGCCATGTTTTCTCCTCCCCTGAAGCCCAGGTGTCACCATGACAACCTCGGGCATCTCTCGTTGGGGCTGCCTCTCATCGCCATGGGGACAAGAAAGAGGAGAGCAGGGTGGTACCAAGTACCAGGAGGAGGAGGAGGGGGAAGAGGAGGAGGAGGGGGAGGGAGGAACATCTGCAATAGGAAATCAAAACTGCTCCGTGGGAAGCAGAAAAGATTTTTATGC